CAAGAAGGCACAGCATGCGACAAGAAGCCATCGGACCGGCATGCTCCACCATCGCCAAGATTTTCTTGCGGTATTCAACGAAGGCGAGCTCCACATCCAGCGACCGCACGAGATGAGTGTCCACGACGTGTTGCTTCAGCTCCGATTGCTTCCGGCAACTGAAGTCGCATAAGCGGCAGCAACACCGTTCGCACATCACCGAGGCATCGTCCGAAAAAGTCTGGAGCAGGCGACGAGCTACCGCCTCGCTTACGGCAGGTACGCTCCGAGAGCAATTCAGCAGCACAGCGACGCGATCCAGCTTCAAAGGCAACGACACCTCGGAGTCTCGCAAGATCCCGAGCGCTTCCCGCCCCGCCTCGTCCGCGTTCCGAAGCAAGTCTTCCACGGGCCAGAAACGTTGCTTCATACGCCTGCCCTCACACCAGCCGGGGACGGCGAACAGCACTGCCCGCTCCACGGCCGAACGCCAGAGAATGCCGTCTAGCGCCTCCGAGCCATCACCAAGGCAGTCAAGTGCCAGCCAGCACAACGGATCGAAATCCGGCGGATAAGCCTTTCTCATGGCCCGGGCCCTCGCAGTGGCACCGTCAGGGTAGTACGCTTCAACACGCTTGGCCAGGACTGGATTCTCCTCTCGCGAAGGCAAACGGTAACACCCTTCAGTCGTCTGCCAGCCCAGAAGCTGATTCCGCAAGGTGAGCGTGTCTTTATCTATGCCTTGCTCGCTAGCCCTAGCTGCCGACACTGTGTTAGGATTGTGCAAGTCACGAATGCCGATGCCAGCCAGCGGGTGCAACAGCTCCGTCACCAAAAACCAAGCAAATTGCGACCAGTCTTCTGACTTCCGCACGTGCCCGAAGGTCTGGTACCAGTAGCAGGGTTCGTCCGGCTGTGCTTGTCGCTCCCAACCATACCGACGCATCAGCCCCCGAAGCAGTGTGGTATCGGCCCGATCGAACTTGCGAGTCCGAAACTTGTGCTGGATAATGCTCAGGACAGCCTGCCAGGACCCGGTGAAACAAACATGAGCGAGAAACGCACAGCAACGCGTGCGCACATGAAGCTACAGTCCAAGTTAATCCTCATTTATGTCCATGACCCCATGCACGATCACGTCCCAGACTCTCTATGTTTCGGGACGGCTTCGCGCGGGTTGCCTCCAACACCTCTTGGCGATCTTCGTACCCGTCCGTTGCACACGCTCGCGGCTCCGCCTCGAGGTTGGCCAGATACCAGAGCCGGCGAGCAACGTCCACGGGGTCCACTCGATCGAGGCAATCTGCAAGACGCCACCAACCTGTTTCCCGAAGTCATGGCGTTGTGCCCCCTGCGCGTTCCGAGTGCAGACGGTGACATCAAGTACCTAATGTGGAGATGCCTCTACGCGGTTTGCAAAGCCGGAGCACGGGATGCTGCAGCGGTGGTTGCAGCTGCTTCCGACATCTTCGAGGATGCCAACGTGCGCCAATCTGCGGTTGCCTACTCCTTGGACATCACGGCAGAATCATTTTCCGCGAGACATCTGTCTTCCGATGTGGAGAGAGATCTACTTGCGCAAAAGATTCTGGACAGTCTGCAGCATTGGTCACAGGTCGACACGGCGCTGTCTCGAGAAGTGAGTTCTACGTGGGAGGTTGCTGTTGCCGGCTTGAGAGACGCGACTGTGCCATGTCTGACTTCTTCCATGCAGCATTGTCTTCTTGCAGCCGTGTTGGAAGATCACGTGGATCAGCGGACAGGCGAGTGACGCATTATCGCAAATCACGATCTTCGTGTAATGTCTTGGATGCCGTGTTGCTCTCGTGCGTTGTGCGTGTGAGAATCCGCTGAATCAAGACCTCCTTGCTCACGTTCTCAAACGCCACACCCAGATCTTCGGCCACTCGCAGCAGACAGGGTCCGTCGGCCCGCAAGCGCAAGACACGAAGCCGCGCCCGAATTCGAGGTGGTGCCTTTTCCCCGAGCTCTCCTGCCAAGCGCCGCAAGCCATCTGCCGTGAAGAGGTCCTCGATATTCACCTGTAAGCACGGAAACACACACACACACACACACACACACAGACACACACACACACACACACACACACACACACACACACACACACACACACACACACACACACACACACACACACACACACACACACACACACACACACGCCCTCCTTCCCCCCCGTCATACCTCCTCCTGCACGATGCCCAGCGACAAAGCTTCCAACAGATCCGCTCTGGAGAGCTTGCGCCCGGCTGACTTCTGTTGCACATCCGAAGCGACGCAGAGCTTAGCCAGCTCATCCCGACTCTGCTTCCCCAGCTCGGCGCGGAGCCAGGCTTCGCCCTGCTCGGCATAACCCGCGCACAACTCCTGCAGCTTTTGCTGCGACGCCGGTTCATCGGCCTGACAGCAAGAACTACTTCACTTCAAAGCACAAAACATCCCACCTGGCGACGACACTGACGCCTCGCTACAGAAGCTGACATGGACAATCATCAAAGAACGCCGATTCCCCATGAAGCCTGCTCCCCGACAATGCTCTGTGATAGAGCTTCCAACAGATCCGCTTTGGAGAGAGTGCGCCCGGCTGCGTGTCGTTGCACATCCGCAGCGACACAGAGCTCAGCCAGCTCATCCTTACTGTGCTTCCGCAACTCGCCGCGGAGCCACGCTGCGCCCTGCTCGGCATAACCCGTGCGCAGCTCCTGCAGCTTTTGCTGCGACGCACGTTCATCGGCCTGACAGCAAGAACTATTCACTTCAAAGCACAAAACATCCCACCTGGCGACGACACTGACGCCTCGCTGCAACAGAAGCTGACATGGACAATCATCAAAAACGCCGATTCCCCATGAAGCCTGCTCCCCGACAATGCTCTGTGATAGAGCTTCCAACAAATCCGCTTTGGAGAGAGTGCGCCCGGCTGCGTGTCGTTGCACATCCGCAGCGACACAGAGCTCAGCCAGCTCATCCTTACTGTGCTTCCGCAACTCGCCGCGGAGCCACGCTGCGCCCTGCTCGGCATGACCCGTGCGCAGCTCCTGCAGCTTTTGCTGCGACGCACGTTCATCGGCCTGACAGCAAGAACTGCTTCACTTCAAAGCACAAAACATCCCACCTGGCGACGACACCGACGCCTCGCTACAGAAGCTGACATGGACAATCATCAAAAAAAGCCGAGTCCCCATGAAGCCTGCTCCCCGACAATGCTCTGTGATAGAGCTTCCAACAAATCCGCTTTGGAGAGAGTGCGCCCGGCTGCGTGTCGTTGCACATCCGCAGCGACACAGAGCTCAGCCAGCTCATCCTTACTGTGCTTCCGCAACTCGCCGCGGAGCCACGCTGCGCCCTGCTCGGCATGACCCGTGCGCAGCTCCTGCAGCTTTTGCTGCGACGCACGTTCATCGGCCTGACAGCAAGAACTGCTTCACTTCAAAGCACAAAACATCCCACCTGGCGACGACACCGACGCCTCGCTACAGAAGCTGACATGGACAATCATCAAAAAAGCCGATTCCCCGTGAAGCCTGCTCCCCGACAATGCTCTGTGATAGAGCTTCCAACAGATCCGCTTTGGAGAGAGTGCGCCCGGCTGCGTGTCGTTGCACACCCGCAGCGACGGCGAGCATACGCAGCTCCGCTCGGTTTTGCTTGTCCAGCTCGGTGCAGAGCCAGGCTTCGCCCTGCGCGGCATAACCCGCGCGCAACTCCTGCAGCTTTTGCTGCGACGCCGGTTCATCGGCCTGACAGCCAGAACTACTTCACTTCAAAGCACAAAACATCCCACCTGGCGACGACACTGACGCCTCGCTACAGAAGCTGACATGGACAATCATCAAGAACGCCGATTCCCCATGAAGCCTGCTCCCCGACAATACTCTGTGATAGAGCTTGCGACAACTCCGGCTTGGTAAGCGAGCGCCCAGCTGACTTCTGTTGCACACCCGCAGCGACGGCGAGCAAACGCAGCTCCTCTCGGTTTTGCTTGTCCAGCTCGGTGCGGAGCCAGGCTTCGCCCTGCTCGGCATAACCGGCGCGCAACTTCCGCACCAGCACAGCCATGGGATGGAAAAAGGCGTCCACGCCGGCCCTTTCGCAAGACAGCGTCGAGGCAAGCAAAACACTGTCACAAGTATGTTCAGATGAAAAAGTGTCTGCGCCGACCCTTTCGCAAGACAGCGTCGAGGCGGGCAAACACTGTCCTAAGTATGGTCAGCTGATATGAACAAACTTCGGACTTTTGCAAGTACTCTGAGCCTGAAAGTCACGACGATCACACATGCTTCGCATGCTCTCCGAGAAAACTACACGAGTGGTCAAAAGCTACCAAAACTGTTCTAGCAAAATAAGAGTACAGGGCATAGGGGAAAATGTTGATCACCCCGCCCGGACATCCCCAGTGACTTAGACTGGAAGATGTTCGCATCAACATACAGCGTACGATACATCACAGTAGCGACCACTTCTTACTACAGTACACGGCTCAACAAGTCAGCGTAGCTACGATCTAAAGTCGTCTATACACTACGCGCACTCCATCAAAGGCTCGGACAGCCTATGACGAAATGCAAGCTTGACTCACCCAAGCGTAGGCGTTGCAAGTTCAAGCGCTCCTGTCAAGAACCAAACAATTCATGGCGGATCATGCATCATGCTTAGCATTGATGCCCGGGATTATAGCGGCCTAGTTACCACTGAAAGCTCATCACGAGACTTTCTTTCGGAGTCATGACCGCTCCACGGTCAACACAATCGTTGTTCAGACATAACTAGATTGACACCAAAATGGTGTATCGTGCACAGTCTTGCACGCTCCAAGGATGGTTCACACGACAAGGTCAAGAATGATTCACAGGTGGTTTTCTGAAGCTATGTACAATCGTCGCTGGTCGTCAATGACACACACACAAAGGTAGTGCCACTGACTATGTACAGATGGCCAATGCATCAGCATCATGAGCATTCAAGACACAAGTGTGTTGCGACACGCAATCCAAGGATCATCACTTTTGTTTCTTGCTGCCACCAAAGCAACTTCCGCACGGCTTGTAACCTCGCTCACGGGCTGTGGCGATTCCAAGCTTCACGATCTCATCAGCATTGTTCAGACAAGTACAATTCCTGCTTTTGTGGTACGACTTGCCTCGTCTCAAAGTGCAATAAACATGCAACTCAGGCACATGCTGGATCACATCGTTGGAACCGCGTGCGGCATCGCCATCTATGAAGATAGCACGATTCGGCTCTGGCATTGGCAGCGTTCTCTCTCTTGTTCGATCTTTCGCCTCGTGGTATTCTCCCCAAGCGATACGGTCGTAGTTCATTTCAGCGATCAATCTGCTCAAGCGCTCGTTCTCCTGCTCAGCGGCATGCAGTGCGGCTCGCACCCGTCGCAGGCACATCATGATTGCCAGGCAGAACGCTGAAAGGCTGCAGGTGAAAGTCAATGGAACCCAATTCCACCAACCGTCGGTTCCCTGCTCATAAACTTCTTCGGTGGAGGTGCTGGCATTGCTCACGTTCAAGGTGATGTCATCTTCATTGCCCTCTGTGGTCCATAGCCGCCCAAGGCTCAAAGATTTCAAGGCAAGAAGGATAGCACATGTGCAAATCACCAAGACGGCCAGCGACTGCGCCCACCGTGCATCATCATCGGTCTGCACACCGACTTCACGCCTGGTACCACTGCTCTCGGCACCTTGCACAAGCGACAGCATCATCACCATCATTGCAGTGCTGAAGCTCTGCATCCCGTTGCTCTTTAGCGTCTTACACACAAGTCTGCGAACCCTCTGTGTTTCACGCTCACGCTGCAACTGCTCCAACAACGCATCATGCTCTGCACGGCCTACCTCCTCTATGCAGTCACCCGCACAGCACACAAAGTCATGCATGCACAACAAAGCACGTAGGCGGGATCCTGAGCACGGCACCTTGGTTCCCAGATCCGATGGGTTCCTCCTCCCATCGACCGGCTGCACACGGAGTGTGCGATCGGCTGTCTTCTCCTGTATCCAGAGAAACCTTCCATCAAGATGCCTGATCTTTGATACACCCTGCTTCAAAGATATCTGGCGACAGGAGCTGTTATCAGTCCTCATCAAAAGATCTACCGGTAGTTCAAGCAGGTATTCAAGAACTCTTTTCAGGTAGATGCCGTCGCACGCCGCGGATACCAGGGCGTAAAATTCGCTTTCCGCACTACTGAGGCTTACGCAGCGTTGGCTCTTACAGGAAGTATAGACGCAGCAGCTGTTCAAAAAGAACGAGCTGCTGCTCATCGACCGGCGAGTCTGCTTGTTGCCGCTCCAGTCTGCATCACAGAACACCTCTAGCCGAACGCCATCAAGACACTCCTCGGCATCAGGTGGCTCAAGAATGCTTGCTCGATCGCCCTTGGCATGCACCTTGCTTGCGTAGCCGGCCGTTCCAACAAGATACCCTGCAAGGCGTTGCGCAAACTGCCAGCCGCGCTCGGTCGGTGCTTTAAGGTTCTGGGCTAACACCCTCACCGTGAAAGCAATGTCACTCCGATCCTGTGACACATACATGCCTATCCCAACGGCGCTGCGGTACTTGGCTGCTCGAGCAGAGTCCAGCTCCTTGCTTGCATCCGGCATGAGAAGCTCCTTGGTGCACGGCGTAGGGAACTTTCGATGCAACGGCACATCAAGAAGGTTTGCCATATTCACAGCATGGTCCGCAAGTGGCTTTATCAAGATCCCATCATCAAGAATTATGTGCTCTCTTTTAAGAAACTTGAAGCTGTCTCCAGGCATGCAGGCTACCTCGTAGGACACTTCAAAGGTTTTCTCAAAGCTTGGGACTAGCTCTTTAAGAAGCCACTGGACAAACCCAACCAGGCACAAGTCATCTACATGTATCAACCCGGGGTTTACACGGCCCTTGGGATCAACGATCTTATACACCGATGGGCACTCAGCACAGCTTGTGAGCTTGTGCTCCTCGCGGATGTAGTTCATGATGAATTGATGCCATCGGGCTGTCCCGTCCCGCTGTCCAGGGAGCATCTTGAGAAACCGCATTCGGCTTGCAAATCCAGGGATCTTGGCCAGCATGGGACGCTCCTGAGGGACGTTAAGAAAAGCGTCACGCACATCAAGCGCGATCACTCCTATGCGGTCGGTCTCATCAGGAGACTCTCTGGCTTGCCGGCTGAGCTCGCAATACAGCCACGGCAAAAGCTTGGTGGTGATGGCTGACGTTGCTGGTGCATAAAGATCCTCTCTGTCCCGCTCCAGCCACCGGTACTCGCGAGCTACCAGCCTGGACCGTCTAAAGTACATCATCTTGTCTTTGTGCAGTTTCTTACGCCATGTCCTCACGAACTTCGAAGACAATTCCTTGTGGTCCGACGTGTCCACTTCATCCCCGATCTCCTCAAGAACGCCTTTGCGAAGCAAGCGCTGCACCTCGAAAGAATCAGCGATTCGATCAAGCTCCTCTTGCTGTTGCTCGGACAAATCAGGGATCGAATCATACCAAAGACACTCTTCGTTGTCAAGGGCATGGCTGTCCTCAGTGTTGGTCACATCCCATTCAGCTGCAGCCTCATCTGACACCTCAAGATACCTTTCAGCATCCTCCCACTCAGGGGCTGATTCAAGAACCTCATCATTGATGGGAAGCTCCTCAGCGCCAACCCTGGCGATGCGCTGGTACTTGGATGCCTGCCCACTGGGCTGCAAATCGATAGCATCTTGCGCCCGCTTTGCAACATCGATGAGAAGATCATCATCTGTCATCGGTATCACCGGCGTTCCGCCTTCAGGAGACGGCGGATCAGAAGCAGCAACTTCCATTGGTGATTCAAGCGGCGCTGGGGCTGCAGCAGGCTCAACAACACTTGTCGGAGCACGATCAGACCGGTCAAGAAGAAGCGTGGCTCTCGAAGAAGGCGCTGGGGTCCCCGCCGCAACGCTTGGCGGTTGCACTGACTCAGCTGGCACAGGTGCAGGAGGGATCCCCGCCATGGCCGGCATGTCTGGCATTCTTGACGCCTCAACCTGAACCTCACCTTGGGGAGCATCGGGCTCACCCTTGTCAGCTGGCTTGGGCAAGCGATGCCTAGCCTGTGGAACAACCTTTGTGCCAAGCAAACCAAGCTGATAATCCCAAGGAAATCCTTTGGCATCAATCGCCAGACTCTGCTCGGACTCCCACGGCTTGTCATTTCGCCTGATTGACTTGGTGAGCCACACTCCTGCAGAGTTGCACAAAACATACATGTCATTGCTTGGACTCTTAGTAAGCATGAGGGCTCTGTGCCATCGGCGGTCGCCTTTGTGCTTCCCTTTTCGGTAGCCCCAGACGGGCTCGGCATACATTCCAAGCTTGCCTGAATACCTGAACCCTGTTGCTCGCTCAAAAGCGGTGGCACCTCCTCTGACAGCAAACCTGTTAAGGATGAACGCTGCATGCACGTAACTCCATGCCATCAAGGGGTGACTGGGTCCTAGGTAATCAGGGCCTAAACCGAACTTGGCACGGGCCTGGTCAAGGAAAACATTGGAAAGCCCTCGCAGCAGATCAACCGTCTTTTCCACATACCCTTTGGAGGCATGGGACTCGACAGCAGCATTGCGCACAACGGTTTTGAAGTTCAATCTTGTTCGGACACCGATGATCAAGTTTTGCAGCGCGACAGTGCTCGGCTCATTGTCGGTCTGGAGGGCAATCGTGTTATGCCCCAGCGACTGCACAAATCTGGTCAGTTCGATCGCTGCAAATTTCAAATCATCTTTACCCTTGCTTGCAACCGGAAGTCCGAAAACTGAACCTGTCGCTGTATCGTGCGCTACTAAAATTGTGAGCTTGTGGTGCTGAAGGTCTGAATCATCTGTGGTCACGGAAGTGTAACAGAAGTCGAAGCTTACAATTGGCGTGTCCCGGTCGGGACTGTCGGGGATCGACTGGTGTCGGTCCTCAAGCCCGCGCATGGACAAGCAGTGATCACACCAGCCTTGGAAAGGCCAGTGAGTGAGATTGTGCAAATCACGCTCGGCCTTCGATGGCTCTTTGTTCATTGCCTGACCTTTTGCAACACGTGTGCTGTCGCCTTCGACTGCTTGAGCAACCTCACTCTTCAGAGCAATGTCCTGCTTCTCAAGATAACACTTCAACCTGTCAAGACAGCGCTGCTTGCTCCCAGACTGGGAGAGACCAGCAGCCTTGCACGAAGCTCTGATGACATTCAAAGTCGATGCCAAAGACAACTCGACGCCATCATACACCAGAACATCTCGCTCACTCTTGCGCTCTGGCATCGGCGCATCTGCAACTTCAACATCAGGCAAGGGAGACACACTCACCTCGGCGGGCTCGAAAGCCTCTGCCATTCCATCATCACTGGGCTCATATTCATCAAGCTCCCCTGCATTGGGATCTGCTGGCTGCGGCCCGCTCCAACTGATGTAGTCCTTGACTGACCTGCTTGGCACGATCATCATGTCCTCAAGCGGTGCTCGATCAGTCGTGAGCACACACACAACATCGGATTCCCCGTGCGGTAGCACAGCAGACAACTCCTGAAGCTCACCCCAGCTCACACAGTGTTCAAGCAGGAGCCAGTGGTCGTAGCCGTCTCGGCACGGCTTCACAAGCGTGGTTCTGCATGGCCACCCAACAGGGGCAACGATGGAAGGATCGATGAAGTGCGACCCTCGGCCGCGGAAGAACATGTCACCCTGCTCTGACATCTGCCATCCAAACGGTGCATCAATCATGCTTGCATCAATCGTTGCTTGAACAAACCTGACATGGAGTGCAGGATTCACAGACTGCTCACCGACACGGTAAATGGCAGCTTTGATGCATAGCGAATTGCCCTTGAAGCTCATCGGCACTCGGATGCCACTGTCATGCTCAAGACACATGGTGGGCTTGCGCTGTGGCCACCACCCAGCACGCAGCTTGCCCTTGCACAAGAGAGGCTGAGTGACAGGTGCAATCGCGCAAACTTCTCGCCACACAATCGGCTCACCTTCTTCACTCTGCAAAACGAAATCAACTTCTCTCAAATCGTTCACAGCAAGTGGCTCGCCCTGTGCATCTTTCAATGCCAAGCCTCCGGCGCCCTGACTGGTGCCATGCGTGGCATAGCAAAGTGGCAGGCAACTCATGTCTGCTCCACTGTCAAGGATGATCTCATGAGCTTCTGAGTCGTGCACCAACATGTCAATGGAATGCACTGCGCACACAAACTGAGGAATCCCGCTGCAGTCTGACTCGTCCTGAAGATCAAAGGTCGATGCAGCTATGCACCACGACCCTGCATTGGCATCACAAGCTGACATGTCGAAGCTGTGGTCACACTCGGACCCGGGACCCTCTGGCACGCTGCACTGATCTTGCTCAAGCAAAATGGGACCCTCTGGCACGCTGCACTGATCGTAAAATTCAAAACGACCTGTGGGGACTGGATTGCCTCGGCTCTCAAACCCGTTGAAAATGTTATCAAGACAATCGCTCAAGCCATCCGAACACTCGAAGCGCTCAACTCCCGAAATTGTCAAGACATCTGAAACTGGATATCCCAAGCCAAGGTGGCTGGCACGCATTGCATCAAGAAAATCAAAATCTGAAAATTCTGAAATCCCTCTCGGCATGCAACCTGTGGGGCACTGGATTGCCTTGGCTCTCAAACCCGGCTCGGCTATAACGGCACGCACATGGCCGCCTGCAAACCAGCTTGACGTGTCACCAAGGTCAAAGACCTGCACACGGCGAACGGCTGTGGTTGCCGTGCTCGATGCTGCAGCCTGGCTTGCACTGTCTGACGGCTGCACCTCAGAAACCTGATTGACACGGCCTTTCTCATGCTTTTGCTTAAGCCAGCAATCCTTCTCCAAGTGACCCTTGCGCTCACAGTAACGACAGGTGCGAGTCTCAGTTGCAGGAGGCGGACCTTTGGGAGTGTTGCCGCCTTTGCCCTTGCCTTTTGGCTTGCCTTGGTTCTTACCACCTTTACCGCCTTGTGGCTTGCCACCATGATCTTTGCCTTTTGGCTTGCCTTTGCCTTTGTCACCTTTGCCCTTAGGCTTGCCCTTATTCCATGCGACACGATCAATCTCCATGGGCGCGGGACCGCCTGAGGACGAAGATGCAATGCCAAACGTGCTGGCAATCGAAGTGCTCCACTTTGTCTGGGAAGTGTCCCAGCGCTCAATCAAATTCCGAAGATCCTGATACGTGGAGCTTTCTGTGATCAAGACGGTGGCCTGGGTCCTGAGTTGTCCGGACAGACATCGGAGAACGGCGGCCAAACGATTGTCGTCTGACATGCTAGTGCCAGTCAAGCCTTCATATTCATTCACCGCACTCTCGAAGCGGGTGAGTTGGGTCATAAGGCCGGTCCGGTTGTCAAATGCGGGCCACGAGTGTATTGCTTGCAACAACGCCAAAATGCGATTGCGCGAACTCGGCATTAAATCTTGGCTGAGGAGTCTATATGCCTCAAACCCGTTTGCATCTGTCAAGGATTTCAAGACTCGCTTGCCTTTGTCATGCAAGAGCCCGGCTAAGACACCGTAAAGAAGTCGGGACCTGTCTGCTTCAGCTTCAGTCCAGGATGCATGTGCAATCGGATTGGCAGGCCTACGACGGATTGTCTGAAGCTCCACGCCAAATGCTCGATCAAGACAAGACAGGTACTGTTCCAACTCCCAAGACCAATTAGCCCACAGTGAAAGCTCTGCATCCCGGTCCTTGGGACGGAAAGGCTCAGGAGCCTTGAGGACCTTTGCAAGGTCGCGCCCTCGGATCGCCTGCTCCCTAGGCGCTGCAGTGTTGTTGGAAACAAGAATTGTCAGGTTTTCCAACACTTGCATCAACCGCTCCTCGTTCGGCGGTGCTCTGCTTGCAGCAGACGCTGGGGAAAACGGGTTCCCAGGAGGCACAAATGCCCCAGCAGGAGCTCCAAGCTCCTCATCACTATCATCGGCACCCACTGCGGCAGCAGCCGCATCAGCATATATCTCTGCCATTGTTTCTAATCAAGATCAATGGTGCAATCGGAACCTTCGCGGTGCAATGGAACACGAAACGCAGCTGAAGAACTTGCTTGATCAGGCGTTGATTGCTCAAGATCAATGATTTCCGAACTCCCACAAGAAGAAACCTGAGGAAAACCACCTAGACTAGCGACAAGGGACCTTTCAAAGTCCGGCGCCTCGGTCTGGGCGTGCACAAAGGATTCTTGCACTGAAAACGGTATGCAATTGGCAGTACAGATAGCAGCTCCCTCGCAAAAGAACTTCTCCTTCCACTCCTTCTCTCTCAAACACTTGCTTGCAAATTTGTAAAGCTCAGGCACAGTGTGAAATGATTGGGCTCTGGCTTCGCACGCGGCAAAGCTGGTACGCAAAATGCGCACAAAGGACTCCCTGCTTCTACCCTCGGGCTGAGGTCTCGCCCAAAGCTGCTCCTCGTACACAGACAAGAGAAGCTCACGCAGCAACTCCACTCCTGCTAAGGTTGTCGTGATTTATTGTTCAAGCAAACAAAGCTCGCGGCAGCTATGGCTCGTCCGGTCGGCGCCGGGATTGCGAAGCTACGGCACTACAGCCTAGGTTCACCGAAATCACGCAACACACTCAGAGGAACGCTGCCACAGCCTAACAGCCTGGGCCCCTGAACTCAAGCCCACAAGAAGTCCACGTGTCCCGAAGCTGGGTCGGCCCAGCTCCGCTACCATGAACAAACTTCGGACTTTTGCAAGTACTCTGAGCCTGAAAGTCACGACGATCACACATGCTTCGCATGCTCTCCGAGAAAACTACACGAGTGGTCAAAAGCTACCAAAACTGTTCTAGCAAAATAAGAGTACAGGGCATAGGGGAAAATGTTGATCATGATAAGATGAGAATAAGCAAAGAAAAATCTCCACACCGGCCCTTTCGCAAGACAGCGTCAAGGCAGGCAAGGAAGCGTACTAGCTGTAGTAAGATGCTGCAATGTATGCAAAACGCTGCAACGTGTTTTCCCTTTCTTCTCCCTTTCGAGCCAAACGAGGCAGGCAAACAACAGACACCAGTATAGGAAGATGACTGGCACATGCAAAAACAAATCTCGCTTCCGAGCCTGCAGAGCGCGCGGCTCTTGCAGCTTTTGCTGCGACACCGGCTCATCGGCCTGACAGCTATACTTCACTTCAGAGCACAAAACATCCCACCTGGCGACGACTCTGACGCCTCGCTGCAACAGAAGCTGACATGGACAATCATCCGGAACGCCAATTCCCCGTGAAGCCCGCTCCCCGAATCTCGCTTCCGAGCCTGCAGAAGTCGTCGGCCAGGCAGCGGCGCGGCGCGCCGTCGCAAGACAGCGTGCGCGCCGTACAAGCGCATGAATATATGTGTCTATCTATCTATCTATCTATATATATATATATATATATATATATATATATATCTATATATATATATGTGTATATATGTGTATATATGTGTATATTATTCTTATCGATATATGCATTTGCCAATGCCAATCCCTCCGAAAGGTTGCCAATTGACCTGTTGCACACCTACCGATTAGAACAATCAAGAAGCAAAGCAAATCCCTCTCAAGCCAATCCCTGTGAAGGGTTCCGCGGGCACCGCAAAATGTGTAACTTCACCTCGCGTTCGAGCACTCGACAACACCAATCTGTGTGAAGGGTTCAAAATTCATCTGAATGCTCATCAAAAATTGCAACTTTACCTCGCGTTCGAACACTGGACCACGCCTATCCCTGTGAGGGGTTGCAAAATTCATCTCAATGCTCATCAAAAAATACAACTTTACCTCGCGTTCGAACACTCCACCACGCCAATCCCTGTGAAGGGTTGCAAAATTCATCTCAATGCACATAAAAAATTGCAACTTTACCTCGCGTTCGAACACTCGACCACGCCAATCCCTGTGAAGGGTTGCAAAATTCATTTCAATGCACATCAAAAAATGCAACTTTACCTAGCGTTCGTGCATTCGACCATGCCAATCCCTGTGAAGGGTTGCAAAATGCAGTTGAGCTGCGCCCAAACCCTGTGAAGGGTTGCGCGGCGCCCGCAAAATGTGTAACTTTACCTCGCGTTTGAACACCCGAGGAAGCGAATCCCTGTGAAGGGTTCACGGCGACCGAAAAATTTGTAACTTTACCTCGCGTTTGGAGGCGAATCCCTGTGAAGGGTTCACCCGCGCGCCTAAAATGTGTAACTTTACCTCGCGTTTGAACGCCCGAGAGTTCCAATCCCTGTGAAGGGTTGCGCCGGGCGCCTAAAATGTGGAACTTTACCTAGCGTTTGAACGCCCGAGGCAGCGAATCCCTGTGAAGGGTTGCGCCGGGCGCCTAAAATGTGTAACTTTACCTCGCGTTTGAACGCCCGAGGCAGCGAATCCCTGTGAAGGGTTGCGCCGGGCGCCTAAAATGTGTAACTTTACCTCGCGTTTGAACGCCCGAGGCAGCGAATCCCTGGGAAGGGTTGCGCGGGAACCCTAAAATGTGTAACTTTACCTCGCGTTTGAACGCCCGAGGAGGCGAATCCCTGGGAAGGGTTGCATTCCCGATGGACGACAACGGTGCCACCCCTGGCTTTAGAAGAGAGAATTAGATACCGAGATGTAGAGAGTAAGTCATAGAGGCATAGAGTCAAGTAAGTAAGTAAGTAAAAGTAAGTAAGTAAGTAAGTAAGTAAGTAAGTAAGTAAGTAAGTATAAGTAAGTATAGAGATAGCATAACATAGAGTCCAGTGTCAAGTGTCAAGTAAGTAAGTAGAGTGAAGTAAGTAAGTAGAGTGAAGTAAGTAAGTAAGTAAGTAAGTAAGTAAGTCGTAAGCATAACATAGAGTCAAGTGTCAAGTGTAGAAGAGTCCAGTGTCAAGTGTCAAGTAAGTAAGTAAGTAGAGTGAAGTAAGTAAGTAAGTAAGTAAGTAAGTAAGTCGTAAGCATAACATAGAGTCAAGTATCAAGTGTAGAGTCAAGTATCATAGAGTCAAATGTCAAGTGTAGAGAGTCAGTCATAGAGGTCAAGTAAGTAAGTAAGTATCAAGTGTAGAGTCAAGTATCAAGTGTAGAGTAAAGTATGGAGTCAAGTAAGTTGATTCTATGTCTGTCATCTATGTACTCAACTGCGGCGTTCCACACGGAAGAACCCTTCGCGATGCTTTCGGGAAAAAAGCTATAAACACCATCACAGGGCTGGGCGGGTGGGTCAAAATTTTAAAGCATGGAGCGAAGCTTGATGCTATGCTGAAGCACGCGTGTCTTGGGCCGAAATGTTGTGTTTGGAACATGGTAAAGTAAAACACCCATGAGTAAACACATGAAACGTTCAACTTTACCTAACCCAAGACACGCTACGAGCTACAGAGCAAAGCAAGCAGAGAGACTATTTTTGACTTTGCCGGAAACGCGAGAAGTAAGTTGAAGCTGCAAGCCAAAGCTAAGCAAAGAAAAGCTACAACGAAGCTTCGAGAGTTTAGACCCACAGTTTAACCGGCAAAGTCAAAGTCTCGCCCTACGGTTCCCCAAAGTGAAAAGTGAGGGTTTGACGCGCTCGCTCAGTGAAACGCTGCACCCCGGGCAAACTTCCAGCGGGCGTAAAGCAGCACCATGCCACCCCGGGCAATCATCCTGCGGGTGGTGAGCATGTGCTGCACCCCGGGCAAACATCCTGCGGGCGTAAAGCAGCCAGACAAGTACCCCGGGTAAAGATCCTGCAGGCACTGTCACAAGTCATCATCTGACACATGTCTTTCCTGTGTCCCAGCTGGCAAAGAAAAATGAGAAGGCCACACCAGGACCTCCTTGCGAAAGAACCAGATGAACTTGAGAGAGCAATCCACCCGGTCTTCTATCTTCCACTTATCAGGTAAAGCGTCAGTTTGATTCCACCTGCTCAACAGATCTGCATCATCGTTCTTCTCACCGGCAATGTGAGAGATATCCAGCTCGATCCCCGACGCTGCTGATATCAGGGAAAGTTTCTGAGCAAACGCTCCCAGAGGCCACTTAGATGTGTAAAGTTTCGCTCCGAGAGCCTCGGTTGAGGCATTGTCAGAAAAGGAAGGCAAACGCACCGCCACACGACCTGAAGGAAAGACAGATCTGTACACGTGTACCAGAGCAATCTGTGCCAAAGTTTCGTAACAGGCAATATCTTTGTGCGCAGGTCGGCGGAGTTCAAGGCCAAGAACGGACAAATCTGAAAGCTGCCAGGCCTGTGAAAACCAAATGCACTTCTGAGATGGAAAAGCAATAAACCCGCCGATGCCGATGAGATCTCCATCTGCTCTTGCATCCGCAAAGGCCTCGACCTGGAGTCGCAAAGGGACTGAAAGAGCAGTGTAAGGCTGAGGCCGCTGACACCATTCCTTCCAGAACGAAAGGAAGGTTCGCGAGGCTGGTGACAAAGAACGTCGGTCGGATTTAGGATTCGTCACTCGCATCCAGATCCGATTGGAAGTACGGACCTTGCAAAGGTCTAGCTTGGTTTTAAGTTCTGTGCGACGAGCTTCCAGCAACTTGCCCCCGAGGGGCACTTGAGTGCCTGGAGGTACAGAAGTAAATCGAAGGTCATCATCCAGGTAGTTAGCCAAAGAAGGCCAGAGTCCCTGCGAGATGCTGTACTGCGATGCCAAGTGTCGATGCAGGTCCGAGAAAAGCGCTGCTAACCAAGGCTTGCAGGATCTGTAAAGCTGGCAGAACCACTGCAGAAGTCCCACCAACTTGTGCAGCAAGGCACTTGTAACTCTCCTGGACCGTGTGACCTCTTTGATCAAGTTGAAAAGCTTATCAACTTTTTCTTGGGGAATATGAAACGAGCCACTGGTAAAGTTGAAAGTCCAACCGATCCAGGTGATGCAGCTCCCCAACTGTAACTTGGCCCAGCTGAGGGGTACGCCAAATATGGAGGTAAAGCAAAGTAAGAGTGAAGCTGAATACAGGGTGCATTCCCGGTCCTGGATGAAAAGAAAATCATCGACGTAACCCATGAGGGCGTGGCGCACAAAGATCCAGAGATGCATGAGGCGTAAAAGCATTCCAGCTAACCGTTGAAACCACAAAGCGGAAAAATTTGCACCGAATGGACAAACTCGATAAAAGAAAAGTGAACAAACTTCGGACTTTTGAAAGTACTCTGAGCCTGAATGTTACGTCGATCGTACATGCTTCGCATGCTCTCCGAGAAAACTACACGAGTGGTCAAAAGCTATCAAAACTGTTCTAGCAAAATAAGAGTACAGGGCATAGGGGAAAATGTTGATCACCCCGCCCGGACATCCCCAGTAACTTAGACTGGAAGATGTTCGCATCAACATACAGCGTACGATACATCACAGTAGCGACCACTTCTCACTACAGTATACACACGGCTCAACAAGTCAACGTAGCTACGATCTAAAGTCGTCTGTACACTACGCACACTCCATCAAAGGCTCAGACAGCCGATGACGAAATGCAAGCTTGACTCACCCAAGCGTAGGCGTTGCAAGTTCAAGCGCTCCTGTCAAGAACCAAACAATTCATGGCGGATCATGCATCATGCTTAACATTGATGCCCGGGATTATAGCGGCCTAGTTACCGCTGAAAGCTCACTGAGAAAGTATCACAGCCAGCCCCCAGAAAAGCTGCCGAGAGAGGGCGACGAGCCCCCCCGTTGATGTCCAGGAAAAAGCCTGAGCCGGGTTCCGAGACCGAGCATGCAAAGTTCTGAGGAGCACTCTGTACCACGGGCTCCGGGGGAGTAACACGCGGCTGTGGAAAAGGAGCATCTCCTGGAGCATCTGCAGGCAAAGTAACTGGAACCAGGCCTTCCCTGCCTGCATCATCAAGACCCGGTCCCCCTCAAGAGCCTGCCTTTTGTGCATGCTGAAAAGCAGGATGCTTCTGCAGGCAGATCTTACCATTCTCCAAGATCACGGGGCAAAGGTGCTCAAATTTGCAATTGGTAAATTTGCAGCCTTTGTGGGTACTCTATGCCATACAAAGTACCTTCTGCTCGCCATTGATCTTCGCTTTACTTGCCCACTCGAAGGCATGTGTGCCTTTGGTAAAGGTGGATTTCCCCTTTCCTGTACCGGCACCTCCTTTGCCTCCATTGGCCTTCCCATTACCTTTATGGGGTTGGCCCTTCCAAAGTTCCTTGCCTTTGCCGTCGCCTTTCTTGCCCTTGAAAGGAGCAAGACGGGGAGCAAGTAAAGCGACCAACTCAGCACGAACATCCGTGAACTCATGCAAAGCATCATCGACCGACCAGCCCTCCTGCCTGAGCTGACCGACGACCTCCCAACATCGACGATCTGCTGCTTCGCACTCCTGTGCGTTTGGCGGACGCAAAGTTGGGTCTGTTCTCGCCTGAACATGTTTCAAGAACTTGCGCTCATAGGAACGTAAAGTAGCAAGATGAGCAACGTCCGCAAGCGCGAGGGCGTTGGAATGTGTGGAAAGTAAATTGCTTATCCCATATAGTCCCATATTCTCCGCAACATTACGCGAGGGCACGTCGTCGTAAAGAACGTCGGTAAAGTTCTCAAATCTTGCCAACTTCCTGGGCCGAGCCGAGTTGTAATCCTCTTCTTGTTGTTTGGAAAGTCTGTGTTTCCAGGAAATGAACTTCCAGTCCGACGTGCCTTTCAGCCTGTAAGCGAGGGAAAGCAAACGCGCACTCGGAAAGTTGGAATCATCGTTTCGGTGGAGAGCTTGGGAGGGAAGGTCTCCGCCCACGAGGAATGCAAAGTACTCGCAGAGGAATCTGAGGCCACTGACGGTAAAGTACATATCTTGTGAGCCTGCACCCACAGCATCCTGAGAACAGGGAGCTCATCGGCATCAGGAGACCAGCCTTTGGATGCCAGGAAAGCATCGAGACCTTCCAAGTTCACGGTGCCAAGGCCAAAAGAAAGCAAAGTCAAATCACCGAGAGCTACTGCCGATGCCGGAATCGAGAGTTGCAAAGCTGTGGCCAACTGCTGCACCGTAGATCTCGAGGATAAAGAGTCCATGGCCTGACAATCACACGGGTGGCAGAAGCTATGCATGACCGTGTCGCAAAGGTTCACCAGAGCACGCCGAATCTTTTATTGAGAAGCAAAGTAGGTCGGTGACGCGCGCTGCTGGGTCCCAGACGCAAAGAAAAGGGCCGGAGGCCCATGCAAAGCTGAGCAAGGTATACATATAGGAAGCATAACGCTAAAGTAAAGTAGTAGCTGTGGGAACCCAGCATTGACGCAATTAAAGGAACTTCACAGCCAGAAAAAGCACCATGGAGGACGCGTCTGGCAGTAAAGTACTCAGCTACTGCCCATAAGCATTGCAAAAAGTATTGCGCCCCTGACGTCGACGGTATTCTGGGTACCCTTCCAAGGCAACACACAGTGGTGAAGATCAGGGGCAAAATACAAGGGAGAATTCTACGTGCTGTGGGATCCACCAGCAACAACCTTGCCGTTGTCCTTAGACTGGGTATCCGGGCCTTGGCCGGGCATCCCCTCAACCCACAACAAACCTCCCGAAAAGTCCCCGAAACTAATCGCAAAGTTCTCACGTCCCTTGAAATTCCGTGAATCTGCATGCAACAATGATTTGGCGTCACGATTCACCGCGATTGAGGTCCATGTGAAGCCGCGACTTGCATGTTTGCTGATCCACTCGTTCATGTACCGACAAGCAAGAGGAAACCGTGTAGTGATGTTGGTGATCCCTTGCATGGAACTGAACGAAAAGAAACCCCAATTGTGATAGTAGGATTCATCATTCGTGGTAAGCCGAGACTTGCGCCTCTTGCTTACCTTCACTGGGAATTCTGACGCAACTGACTGCAGTCCTTCAAAGCTGAAATCCTTCGCTTCAAGAAGACCCTGCGCGATAGCTTCAAGCTGTGGCCTGCCATGACTGGCGGCTGCAATCTGAGGTTTCGCAATCAAGTGACTGTCCGAATACCTTTCTTGGCAACATCAGGACACAGATTATGATTGATCAACCTGAGAGCGTGAAGCCACTTAGTCTTCTCAGCGAAAAGTTTAGTATAGATGTCGGCAACTTGTTCGAGCGCGTCAACATTGATCATGTCAAAATGTTCCACTTCGAACTGCTGCTTCAACCATCCAAAGCTAATGTTCTGGGTGCGGTCAGTGTGTCGCATCTTTTCACTGTCACCTTTGTGGACAATTGTGATCGTTGCCTGGTTGTCCTCAAGGAACTGAACACGAAACTTATCACTCAAGCCCACGTTCAAACCTTGAAGGTTAGCAACCGATCGCCCACCTGGATTACCCCCGTACCTGATCTCGTCAAGTTCGGGGTCAACTCTCGCTATAACACCGTCAATCTTGATGGGTGGAGGTCGTTTTGGCCTAACCTGGTGGTTGGCTGAATTGATCTCACCTGGACAGCCCCCCATCGGTTGATAACCGACGTGACCTAAACACAAACCGATGTAGGCCATCCCGGGCTCCCAGCGGTTAATCGAACATCCCAGCGGTTATTTGATATCCCAGCGGTTATTTGATTATCCCAGCGGTTAATTGTCCCAGCGGTTAATTCCAGCGGTTAATTGTCCCAGCGGTTAGTCCCAGCGGTTCATCCCAGCGGTGAATTGTCCCAGCGGTTAATCCCAGCGGTTAATTGTCCCAGCGGTTAATCCCAGCGGTTAATTCACATCCTAGCGGTTATATATCCAAAGGTTCGGGATCCCAGCGGTTAGTGAAGGTGCCAACGGCCGTACGAACATGGTGTTAATGAACTTGTGTGGCGTGGCGAGGTGCCAACGGCCGTACGAACATGGTGTTAATGAATTTGTGCGGCGTGGCGAGGTGCCAACGGCCGTTCTCTGCCTCCGGACGGGTGGCGCAAAGCAGCCAAACCTTCACCTACTACTACTACTACTACTACTACTACTACTACTACTACTGCTGCTACTACTACTACTGCTACTACTACTACAGCTTCTGCAAACACTGCTTGGGCTTTCGGTGCTTCAGCTTCTGCAAACACTGCTTGGGCTTTCGGGGCTTCAGCTTCTGCAAACACTGCTTGGGCTTTCGGGGCTTCAGCTTCTGCAAACACTGCTTGGGCTTTCGGGGCTTCAGCTTCTGCAAACACTGCTTGGGCTTTCGTTGCTTCAGCTTCTGCAAACACTGCTTGGCTTTCGGGGCTTCAGCTTCTGCAAACACTGCTTGGCTTTCGGTGCTTCAGCTTCTGCAAACACTGCTTGGGCTTTCGGTGTTTCAGCTTCTGCAAACACTGCTTGGCTTTCGGGGCTTCAGCTTCTGCAAACACTGCTTGGCTTTCGGGGCTTCAGCTTCTGCAAACACGGCTGCTTGGGCTTTCGGGGCTTCAGCTTCTGCAAACACTGCTTGGGCTTTCGGTGTTTCAGCTTCTGCAAACACTGCTTGGCTTTCGGGGCTTCAGCTTCTGCAAACACGGTTTGGCTGTTGGTGCTCTTGACAGCATATTATGCAGGAGTCTTTGTTGACTAGCTGTCACAATCAAACATGTACACGTACGGTGTGGCGAGGCGCCAACAGCCATTACAACTCACGGTGGGCGGCACTTCAAGCAATCAGTCGCAACCAACCAACCGACCGACCA